ATGAAGTCTTGTGCCTGCAGGCAGACTGGTGGGGAGGATGCAATGTCTCTGACCTAGCTTGCTGGCTGAAGAGATTTCTCCCCAGTGCCCAGCTGCAGGGGTTAAAGGCCAGGCTTGCGGGAGGATCTCCCCAGTGAGTTCCTCCATCACGCACAGCTCGGCCTTCAAGGAATAGTTGTCATTTTTTCCTGCATCGTTGTAGGGTTTTTTTAGTGCCTAGAGCTAAGCTGTGGCTTCATGAACCATCTTCTGGAGGGAAGGAACTGTGACAACACTTACTCCATCTTGCTCCCTGGAGAATCCAGCACCATGAGTGCTTCCAGATTTAAGGCTCAGGACTACTCCTGGTCTTCCATTTCCTCCTCCCCTCGCTCCACTGTGGCCACTCATGAAAGACCTTCTTTGTACTGTTTTTCACTGGTGTGTATTCATGCTAGGCTCACACTGGACCCCTCAGCTTTGCCCAAAGAGCACCTGTAATGCTTAGAAGTGTCAGTTCAGCAACATCTGGACAAATTGCCAAGGGTGGTGTTTAGAGCTGACTGCTGGAGGATTCACTGCTGGCTACTTCAGAACTGACACCATTCTGCAGGGCAAGTCAGCAACTGCTGTTCAGAGACAGCCTGGGAGAAAGTCTGGTAGCAACCAGCTCTTTGAGATTTAATCTGAAAACTCTCCAAGACCCAAGGATGGAGGAAAATAACTTGAAAATTATACTTAAAATGGTTAGCCAATGCAGAAGTAAATAGTATTCTTCATGTGGGAGGAGAACCTGAGGGAGAGTGGTTTGGTATTTTTGAGTTTGATGCAAGTCATTTGTATTTGCATCTCTCCATATGATGGCTTCAAAACCGGTGGTCTCAATTCTGAGTGCTGCTGGATGGCAGAACTAGGTTGACTGAGCAAACTGAAATGGAAGACAGTCACTGATGGCTGGAATCAGGCCTGACTTGGTAACACACAGCTTTAATTCCTTCATCAAGAGGAGTATGTCGCCTTTGAAGATATTTTTGCAATGAACTGTCCCAAGGAAAAATCTCCTGGCATCCTGTGAAGATATGCTGACTAATGGACCAAACTCTGCATTCACCTGGCCTTGGCTAAGCTGGAATGGATTAATCAGTGCAGAGCAGCACTGATGCAGTATAAGCCCCAATTTGTCTAGCAGTACAAACCTGCTAAACCTTCATGCCTTACTCCATGGCAGGTAAAAAGTATAAGAACTTGAAATTACAATGTGAGAGAACTTGCTGCATGCTAATCAAAGGGACTGTGTGACTCATTTTAGCTGCTTTTTTTCAAGCTGTTTTCCAAGAAAATTTTGTGGTTTGGGGAACAGTATGCAGAAGCCTCTGAGACAGTATTTGTTGGCAGTCTGTAATCCCCCCAGCTTCTCTACCTCCTTTCTTCCTCTTCCCAGAGCAAGCCACAGAGCTGCATGCTGCAAACGTACTGAAAAAACTAGCTTGATTAGGAAATGTTGAGTGCAATTCAAGGCTATTGCACAGAGTGGGGTAGTGTGGTGACATTTGCAAACTATGGAGGAAATCAGCTTCGCTGTGAAACATCCACCTCGGACATCAATATTGGCCTATAGGACTGTGCAGCAATTAGGTGCAGTGCAAAGCAGGGTGTCCTGGCTGGAGGGAGACACTTATCTCCTGCTGTCCCAGTTAATGAGTCTCAGGTTTGTGGTGGCATGTTGGCTAGAAAGTCTTCATTGACTGAAGCTCATTCTGGCATACATAAATAAGGTTTAAGCTAGCTGGTTTGGATAGTGCCATGTGATGCAGGCAAGGGATTCAATGCAGGTTGACAGTGAAGAATCTCAGCTTCTAATGGGAGGTTTGCAGACATGCCCTTAGGCCTTTTTATTGAGTGTGCAAGGGTCTTGCCGCTTTTCACACTCATTCAGCTTCATTACTGTTTGGGGTTTTTTGGGTTTTGTTTGTTTGGTTTTTAATTAGTCTGTTTCTTGCCCCTGGGCATGTAAACTCAGTAATAATTTGTGCAACCACCCAAGGGGAGCATGAAATATCCAAAGAGAGTTTTTCCACATGACTCAGATCCCAGATTCACAAAGCTTGCTACCAGGTGTGGCCAGATGCCACAAAAATGAGCAGGACAAAATCACCAAACTTGTAAGGAGTCTTCTAAACTCCTGAGATCCAAAGGACCTGATCTGCAGGAGTCTGCAGTTTGGAGGCCAGGGGTCCACAACCTTTGCCAGAGGGCTGTTTTTACCTACCAGCCTATCTGTAGATTTAATACCCTGTGTTTGGGCATCCAAGTTTGATGCTTTTCACAATTCATATTTGAGATGCAGTGGCCAAAAAAGATAATTTTCATGAACTGCTCTGACCTCCTGAGTAACAAATGCAGTGCATTTCAACAGTTAACTTTAGAGCAGTACGGGGATGTTTGCCGTGAAGGTGAAGCCAGCCTTGCTCTGAGCATTGCAGTTCATTCAGAGCAATTTAATTTGTGGAGGAATATGTCAACACTGCTCTTGTTCTCCTAATGAAAGCACTTGAACAGTCTATGCATTCTGCATACATATACATAGTCCTGAGTCTGTTTCTTCGCCTGTGGGCCTGAATCAATTCTGATCCACACTGTTGTGCATCAGAACTCATCTCAGTAAAGTGCAGGGAGTCCCATAGATGTAAATGACATGTGAGCAAGATCAGAAATAAGCTGTGGTATTTTATCAATCATGTTGCAAACTTGATGTAGAAACTAGCAAGAAGGAGTAATTGGTTCAAATCTTCTGTCATGTAGCAGAAAATGGAGATGCATAGTTAACTGCTGCTGTTTGAGAAGATAATTGGGAAGATCTCTAGCAGAGATGGATGTGGACTGAGGATTTTGGAACTGAATTTAGGTCTGGGCTTTTAGAAATTACAAAACGTAGTGGTATTTGCTTTGGGTGTTCTCAGTCACTCATGATTTTGTTTTTAATTCGGCACTGACTTACATTCCAGTGAGAGCAACCAAACATTTTGTTTTTCAGCACTTTCTTTGCTCTGAGTCCCCACAAAGAATGGAAATTAAGTATCTGCCCCCCCCCTTTTTTTTTTCCTCTAGACCTTGACCTCAGAGTTCACCCATTTCAAAGCCTTTTGGGTACAAGTAGGAGAAAGAGAGTGAAGAAGAGAGCCTAGAAAAAACCTGCACAAACTACATGAAAAAAACCTACTTCTTTGCCCCAGTTAAAACCAAAGTAAAAACAAAACAAAACCACCCAGACTTTTCCATTCCTCTTTTATTGTATATTTTAAAACACAGGCAGATGAAAGAGGAACTGGACAGTAACTGTATTCCTCATTATCTAACTATCCCTCGGGCACAAGTGCCAGGTTTTACTTTTAGCAGGAAGGTTGGCCTCACTAGTGTTGGCATGCAGGCTCAGCAGTAGCTTGTGAGCACTCCCAGGGAGCTCAGTGTGCATAGTTACTTGGAGGCATAAGTAAGTGTTTTCGAGATCAGGGGTTTGGACAGAGCTGCAGGAACATAATAAAATATGTGGCTGCAGCCCAAGCATGCTGATAACATAACTGAAAGCTGCTGGATTAATGCAGACCCAGGCAGTGAGCACGAGAGGATCTCCATGCAGTTTGGCTGCAGAGCTGGACAGCAGTGCGGAGGCAAGGAAAGGAAAACCTGAGAGGCAAAAACTGTAAAGACAGGGCACCAGCTGAGTGCTGGGAGCGAGAAAACTGATCCTATGAGAAGGATCCCAAAGTCTCCATAACACTGGCATGGCTAGCTCATGGCAAACATGCTTGGGATAATGCAGACACAGAGTGACATATTTTTAATGAGTCCTGGCCTTACAAAATATGCTATATAACTTACTGGCCTAGAGAGACTAGGAATGTCTCTCTAAAGTTCATGGTTTTGCTTGAATCAGTTTGTCTTTTGCATCACTTGTTGTCCTGCTAGCTGGAGCACAGACAGATTGTTAGTCTCTGTTTCCACGGCTGCATTACATAGTCTTGCTCCCAGCTGGGTTGGATGAAAATAGCACTAAGAGACGATGGGGTGCATACCTTAGAGCACCTTGTATTGCAGGCAGTCCAGGAGAGGACAGGAGGTGAGAACTTGCTTTGGTTATAACTCTAAACACTGGTGTTTATTTTTCTGTGCGGGTGCTGTGGATGTTGAGCTGCTCCAGAGATAAGGACCTCAGCTGACACTGGCAGGTATGCAGAGGGACTGGCAGTGGCAGGGGCACAGGACCAGTGCTGGCCTTCTGTCAGGCGCTGCGACTGTGAAAGCAAAGCCTGTCTGCCCACGTGAGTGCAGGGGAACAGAGGCATCGCAGCCCGCATCCGTGTATTCAAAAGGGAGATGAGCCCTGTGGGAGCCTTTTGGAGCAAAACCGCCTGCAGTGGCTGGACAGTCAGCTCTCACCAGCGAGTAGAGCCCTGCTTCCCTGCTCCTTGTGCCGCTGGAGGGGTAAGAGATCCCTCTGGGCAGAGCACAGCCATGAGCCCATCTCCCCAGCCAAAGCCTTTCTGGTGGTCTCTGCCTCCACAGCCCTCCGCCGCAGCCGTCCCCATGGCTCCTCCGGTCCTCTGCAACCAGGGGCACGGGGCCTGACCGCTGCAGGCCGGGTGGCTGTGAGCCGGCCGGACTTAGGACAGCCAGCGCAGCTGCTCGCACAACTTCCCCGGAGACCTGCCCTGTGTTGCCGGCAGCTGGGGTGTGAGGAGGGTGGCCACCGGCTCCGTGCGACCCAGGCCTGCCGAGGTGACACGGTTGCGCGGGATGCAGGCACGAGGTGTTTGCCCTCCCCCAGCCACCTCTCGCCCCGCTCGTGAGCTTTGCGCCCCAGCGGCAGGATGGGGACAGCTGCTTTCACAACCTGGACGTGTTGTCACTCACATCCAGACATTTCCTGTTATCTAACCTCAGCCTTATCTTCCCCATTCGCAGCTTCCTCTTGAAGGAGGAGCAGCCCCTTCAAAAACGAGCTGTGTGCCTGGGCTGTGCCCCCACCGTGCTCCTCCTGTGCGGCCCCCGGTGCCGGCCCTGCGCCGCTGGCCCCGCTCACCTCGGGCCAGGCTGGCTCAGCACGGTAGGTGCCAGGTCCCCATCCTGCCTGGCGGAAGGGGTGGCTGGGGACGGGAGGATAGGTCCTTTAGGGGTGACCTCCCGTTTCTCCTCCAGGAGGTCCCAAAGGACCACGGGGGTCGGGACACCAAAACCTGCATGGTGTCCATGTTCCTGGCAACGCAGAAAGCTGTCCTCCCACCCCACGTTACACCTCGAGCTTTGGGGGGACTAAGCCAGCTTGGGTTTGGACTGCCTCCCCTTGGTGTCGGGAGTGCATCTGCCTGAGCCCGAAGAGCTTTTTGGTATCTTCCTTCAGGGGAAAAGCGGTGGTTTTGGGCCGGGTGTACTCTGGTAAGGGTAGGCTAGTGGATGTGAACGCCACCAGTCCTAGCCAGGGAGCACTGCCCTCCGGATCATGATTCATTGATGAGAATGAATTACAATTAATAGCAATAGTGATGTGTATGTCGCCCTACTTGGTACCGGGATGCGTGTGCTCCCCCCAGCTTGCACGCATGCACATGCTGCAGATGAGTTGCTGGCAGTAGGGAGATTTTGATCTAAATTAGTCATAGATGAGACAGCGCACAAAGAGCAGGGGAAGTTGCGGGATGGAGGAGGGTTTTACCAGGCAGAGACGGTGTCCCAGCTGGGTGCAAGAACGCTCTTCAGCTCCTTTTCTCGCTGTCCCGATGGCTTCAGCACAGTGGACGAAGGTTTACCACGCACCCCTCTTCCCTCCCCTCAGGTGTTGGGGGCGTGAGCAGCCACAGGGGCACAGTCTGGCGCGCTAGGGTGGGGGCCACAGTGCTCAGGTGAGTGCGGGGGCTGTGGGAGGGCATGCGGCCAGAAGCCCCCAGGTAACGGGGGGTTTATCGGGCCCTTCCCGGGTGCTTTCGGGCGAGCCATGAGGCGCCGGTTGCAACGTTTCTGGCTCCCAGCCTTGCGAGCCGTTCCCACAGCTGTCGCCAAAACCCACAACCTCCTCGCCGAAGCGTTTGCCGGCTGTCGGAATGGCACTTTGCGTGCGTGATGGGCTCTGTGCCCCCAGCCATGGGGCAGCTGGGACCGTGGCTGGCACCTTGCCTTTCTGTCCCATAGAGCCAGCCTGGGCCTGGAGTTTGGATCTGGCTTTGCTCCTGGGCGCTCCGGGACGATCTCCCCAGGACTGGGGGCAGCTGTGGGAGCGCCAGCCGCGTGGCTCTGGAGACCCGGGTGAAAGGAGGGCACTCGTGCGGCGGCAGCGGTGTTTTCCTCGCGGCGCGGGGCAGAGGGGAGGCCAGCGTTTGGCTGCCCGTGGCCGTGCGGCCAGTGGTGCCGGGGGAGCCCACCAGCGATGCTGAGGCGCTGGCAGTGGGAGGGCGTGGCGGGGGGGGGTTGAGGTGCGAGGTATGAAACCGTGTGGTTTCTTGTTAGTAGTGGGGCATATTTTTCTGTGAGGGAGAGTGCTGAATTATATTTTCTCACTTTTTGGAACGGATTTGAAGGGGAAGTTGGGACTCGTGGGACAAGGTGGAGCAGAAGTTTATCGGGAAGCAGGGCTAGGTAGGGGGGACATCCAGCTTGAGCTGAGCAAGGAGGGGTTGCTTTTAGTCTTATAACAAAAGCCAGGAAAAAAATCGGCATACACAGGGCTGCGGGGTTGTTGGGGTGACAGGGTAGTACAGATGGTGGCAGTGGGAACATGTGGCTGGTTTTATGCTTCCCACAGTTGCTTGGGGCCAGTCCTCACTGGAGCACTGCAGAGTCTCTGTCACCTAGATCCTCTGCAGAGCTGGGACAGCTGCTGTACTTACCAAATCAGAGTTTCCGGGAGCTTTCTTTAGGACAGGGCAGTTGGTCACCACACTGCCTGGTAAACTGGAGCCCAAAGACAGCTGGGAGCCTGGGATGAGGTGGCAAGGGACGTCCCAGTCGCTCTAGAGCCAGAGGGAGAGGGCATCACCTCCTGCCTGATGCCTCCTAGTTCTAATGAGGGCAGAGACAAGGGTGTCACAAAAGGTGTTGCCCTGCGCTGTTGTTGCTGGGGAACAAGTGATTTGTATGCCACTAAGAAGGCTCCCCCTTTGCCCACATGAGTCCTCTTGGAAAGCAGAGCCCTGGCCTCGTCGGCAGTAATAGCATCCTTAGCCTGGGGTTGCTCCCTGCAGCAGAGCAGGCAGCCATGGAGCTGCTTTGGCACCTGCCAGCTAAGGAGCAGGAGTTACTAATTAACTGTCTGCACCATTTGGCCCCTTGCTCTGCTTTTGTATTGTTAACTATCTCATCCAAGTCAGCAGATGTGCTATAGAGAACTATGCTTGGGTGTATGGCCTGGCTTGCCTGTAATGAAGCAAGCCCTTTGGGCTGCAGCTCCGGGCTTTGCTGGAGCCTGCCTGATAGATGAGATTCACTTTACTGAGCCAATATTCCAACGTTTGTCAGACAAATCTCCCAGCAGTGTCAGCTGCCGGGCTGGGAGCACAGGAAGATCCTGTATGGAGCAGGATGGCATCCAGTGGAAGTCTGCCATGAGCAAAGCCTCATTTGAGTTTGACTTTCTTATAACGAAGGCTTCCAGCCCCTAGGAGAAGCATGCCCCAAGGTTACTGACGGCCAGGGGTTCAGCAGACCCTGTTGCCCACAGATCTGTGGGGATGCTTGCTTTCAATCCAGGCTACGGTTTGGGTTTCACTAAGTGGAAAACAGAGATGACCTTGATTCCAGTTCAAATCCTGCATAAGTGCCTGTCTTGAAATGGCTGCAGCCTGCATCTTGGGGTACTGCTACTCCGCATGTCAAAACCACGCAGCCACACTTTTATGCATGCTGTTATTAGGTTTAGAGTCAAGTCTATCCAATAATTTTACTTTCCATTTGTTTTCATCAAGAGGTGCAGAGCAGTCTGACAGCCCTGTAAAAATACCTGAGAGATGAGATGCAGCTTGGAGGGACTTTTTGTGGCTTCGATAAGGGACTGACTGAAGAATGCGGGAAGAACTCTTTCTGTTTTCCCCTCAGAGTATGCAGTTGATTGCTCAGTTGGTTTTATAACACTGAGCTTTTACTTGGAAATACCCACTTCAGCTTGAAAGCAGAAGCTCTGGCAATGACAAATCCATTCAGATCAGATACTATCATTACGGGGTGGGGTAGCGAGCTCCATTCCCATCTGCTGATAGAATTATCTCCACTGTGTAACCTCCTCTTATCTGTTGCTCACAGCAACATTTCGAGTGGCTGTTTTTCCCCTCAGAAAGCCACAATGGGGGATTATTTTAAGCTGCAATTGCAGAAGCAGTGCTAAGCAGTGGTCTCTCTCTTCCTGCCCCCCCCCCCCCCCCCCACCCCCCCC